ATCTTGAATCACCCTAGCTGTTCGCTGTGTGAACTGCCATTGCACACGTGGAGGTATGGCACCCTTATCATACAGACACAACCAGATTCAAAGGTGAAGGAAATTATGGTATCTTTGTTCATGTCTGCTTATGTTTGTGTGTTTTGATTCAGACATGCAGGCCCATAGTAATGTGTTTCACATCCTGGGGGGACAATGCATCACAGTATGTCATTGGACCAGGACACCACATCTGAAAGGTAAAGCGATTCAGAGAGTTCAGTGATATCATACATCAGGCTCCCCCCCTCTGCCCCCGCTATACACTACAGAAGTTGAACCTGAGAATCCAGAGATGATGATAGCACAGTTTTCATGGTAATCTTGATACTGGAACAAATGTAATATGTGAACTGGGAAATTGCGACTCTAGTCAGCAGTGGCTGGAAAAAGAGTTGCTGCAATTGAAGGAGCTGCAGCTGATTATATTTGTGATTTCCTGATTTGTACATTATCTTTTTTGGGAGGAGCAAGGCTGATGATGTCTCAAAAATGTGAAGCTTTGTAAATCAAAGTCAATACTTATTGACACAAAGTATTAACCATATTTTGTGAGTGCTGAGTGACAGCAAAAGCCGGTTGCTAGAATTTACAGTTTTGTAGCCCTTTTTAGTATACAAAGTTTTTTATAGTTTGGACATCATTAATCCTTGCAATCATCACATAATGGTTAGGCCCAGTGCTTAATTTATAAAATGGAAAGTAGGAGGCTTATTCTTCTCTGGAAATCACCTAGAAGCCACCTGCCTACAAAATGCCATATGTGTGAAGGCTGTGTATAGTTGATCCTTAGTAGAACATCTTGATAAAACAAAGGCAGTTGGCAACTACTCATAGTACTCTTAATTATATTTGATATAGTCCATAGATAACCCTTGAGGAGCTGTACCTTAAATGATATGCCCAAGGGTATCTAGTGAAGTTTATAGTTAAATAGAAATTTGCAGCTGATTCATTTATATCCAATTCAACATATTTTCTTGATGATGCTTTTTCTTGAATTTTAGGGATGTGTTATGTTCCATGTCATATTGCTAGTTTTTCCTGTGTTTTAAAGTGTTGCCTCATATTCCAAAACATCCAAAGGATATTCCTTACTTCAGTCACCAGTAGTGAAATGTACCTTTAAAATTTTTTGACCTGTCATTCTGGGTAGCGAACATCTAAAAGAGCACATAGTAAATATGCAGCATTGGTTTTTGTAATGTTTGGCACATGTCTGTATGTCTCGTGTATGTGTGAATCTATTTAATGGATCTGTATCCTGTCTTTTCATCCAAAAATGTCCAACAGTACAATCCTAAACACTTCTCTGGGAGTAAGTCCTATGAAATAGACCTGAATAGGATTCTGAGTAACCCTCATTTGCAATCCTATGCAAATCATAAATAATACTTCCATACACGGTGGCTCAAGTGGTTAAGACGCTGAACTGCAGGCTGTGGAAGGTCGGTAGTTCAGCAGTTCGAGACCCAAGTGTGCCGCATGACGGAGTGAGCTCCCGTCTCTAGTTCCAGCTCCTGCCAACCTAGCAGTTCGAAAGCAAGAAATTGCAAGTAGATAAATAGGTACCACTTCAGTGGGAAGGTAACAGCGTTCTGTGCACCTTGGTGTTTAGTCATGCCGGTCACATAACCACAGCAATGTCGTCGGACAGCGCTGGCTTTTCGGATTTGAAACGGAGATGAGCACCGCAACCCTAGAGTCGAATTTGACTGGCTTTTGAGCAAGGGAACCTTTACCTTTACACTGTAACACTGAACATGCTTTAGACTCCACAGATAAGCAGGATTGCTACAGGACACAAAATAGTGACAGATGTCAGTAGTAAACTAGAACAAGTGTTTCTGTACTACTGCTTAAGATCACACAAGGTCTGAAAGTAGTGTTGCACTAGGCAGCTGTCTGAAAGCCTTTACTTTGAACAAACTCCAGACTCTTTACTGCTTTGTTTTGCTGGCTTAATTTTGTTCTTATGGTGGACAGGTGGCTCCTCAGATAGCTCTGGACGCTGAGCAGTTGCCCCACCTGTCCTAAACAGGCTGCGTTTTAGGATGCATGATATGCCACTGAAGTCTATAGCAAAACATCTATTGATATCAGTGGCTCAGACTCTCATTTTTGAAGAAGGCATCTTACGAGGAGTTGCAGATTCAATAACATGGTGTTGTATTCATTCCCATTGAAATCAAGGTTAAGTCTTTATTTATGAGTCAAGCCTTGCATAGACTATCTTGCAACCCCCTCATGTCTGTGAAAAGCATGTTTACAGTGAATAATTCCACTGCATTATTTGCATAATTTAAAAGTTTAATGAATTAGATTAGAGCTTTATTTATAAAAGGGGGGAGACCATCTCTCCTTATATATAATTGAGTAAGAACATTCTATATGAACATTCTAAAATGCCCGCCTTTAGTGTTAGGCCGGAAGAACTGCCACTCAGAAGACGCTGGCTGGGTTGACTGGCTGCTTTGTGCAGTCCCGCCCAGCATTTCAAGGTCTTTTGCATATGGAAGCTGATTGGACTTCACTGCATTCCACACCTCAAACTCACCCCCCTCCCCGCAAGGCAGTTGGAATGTCAGTTGCATATGGAACCTTCAAGGTCTTTTGCATATGGAAGCTGATTGGACTTCACTGCATTCCACACCTCAAACTCACCCCCCTCCCCGCAAGGCAGTTGGAATGTCAGTTGCATATGGAACCTTCAAGGTCTTTTGCATATGGAAGCTGATTGGACTTCACTGCATTCCACACCTCAAACTCACCCCCCTCCCCGCAAGGCAGTTGGAATGTCAGTTGCATATGGAACCTTCAAGGTCTTTTGCATATGGAAGCTGATTGGACTTCACTGCATTCCACACCTCAAACTCACCCCCCTCCCCGCAAGGCAGTTGGAATGTCAGTTGCATATGGAACCTTCAAGGTCTTTTGCATATGGAAGCTGATTGGACTTCACTGCATTCCACACCTCAAACTCACCCCCCTCCCCGCAAGGCAGTTGGAATGTCAGTTGCATATGGAACCTTCAAGGTCTTTTGCATATGGAAGCTGATTGGACTTCACTGCATTCCACACCTCAAACTCACCCCCCTCCCCGCAAGGCAGTTGGAATGTCAGTTGCATATGGAACCTTCAAGGTCTTTTGCATATGGAAGCTGATTGGACTTCACTGCATTCCCATCAAACCATTCTCTTCAACCTCCTGCTGTGCAGCTGACTTTCCCCTAGGGTTGCCAATCTCCAGGTGGGACCTGGAGATCTCCCACTGCTACAATTGATTTCCAGATGACAGAGATCAGTTTCCCCTGGAGAAAATGGCTGCTTTGGAGGGTAGACCCTATGACATTATACCTGCTGAGTCCTTCCGCCCCCCCCCCCAAGGCTGCCCTCTACAGAATCCACCCCCCAAAACTCCAGGTATTTCCCTCCTTATAGCTGGCAACCCTACTTTCCCCTCAGTGCCTGATGGTAGGCAACTTAGTTTGGTCCAGTCACCTACTTTGGCCTTTGGGAGAAAACATATTGGGGCCAATCCTGATAGGGTTGCCAACTCCCGATGGGAAATTCCTGGAGATTTGAGGGATGGAGCCTGAAGAGGGTGAGGTTTGAGGAGGGGTGGGACCTCAGACAGGTACAATGCCATAGACTCCACCCTCCAAACCACTCAGTCCCTCATGGGGAACCATTGTTGCCAATCTCCAGGTGAGGGCTGGAGACCACTCAAAATTACAATTGCTCTGCAGAAGGGAGGGCGGAAGTCAGCTGAAGTCAAAGGGGCAGGTAATGGTAGGTTGATGGTTACCTGCGAAGGAGATGGGGTTGCCAACTCCAGGCTGGCAAATTCCTGGGGATTTGAGGGGTGGAGCCTGGAGAGGGTGGGGTTTGCGGAGGGGTGGGACATCAGACAGGTAGAATGCCATAGACTCCACCCTCCAAACCAGCCATTTCGTCCTGGGTAACAATTGTTGCCAATTTCCAGGTGAGGGCTACAGATCACTCAAAATTACAACTGCTCTTCAGGGAGCAGAGATCAGTTCCTCTGGAGAAAACAGTGGACTCTGCCATTGTACCCTGCTGAGGTCACCACAGCAAAATGACACTGTTTGCCCAATGCCAGAGCACTCCCCCAGAGCCGCTTTCTAGATCTCGTTGTATTTATTTCCACAACGGGCTTTACTGCTAGTTACTGATATATAAGCTTCTGCTGATTTCCACCAATTCTGTCCTTCCTCTGCAGATCCCCACTAAGCTGTTACTGAGGGTACACTCTCTCTTTCTCTGGCTGAGTGGGATAGACAGGTGCACAAGAATCAGGACCTGGGAGCCTCAAGAAAGGTGCCTGGTGATTACCATCACAAAAAAAGCGCTGTGTATGATACCATACTTACTTGAAAGGAACGTGACCCTGAATGTAAGATGACCTGTGCCCTCTCCAAATGATACACCAACATCTTTTTAACTGGACATAACTATAACTTGGATGCAAATGTGAGGACCCCCTCTTTTTAATGGCATACCTGGAAAAAAAACCTAGTCTTGCATTGGGTTAAATACTGTACTTTTTGTAGAAAATGAACTGATGTGTAGTACGTGCTGATGTGCAGTTTGCTTTTTGGTGATAAGACTGGAATAATGAACCAGATGAGCAAATATGCTGAGAGAGAGAGAGAAGGAAGGAATTGCCAAGCAACATATGATAACAGATTATTTTTCTTTTTTAGGCATAATTTCACAGATTTCAATGGAATACAGAGAAAATGACATTCGTTTTCTTTTGTCCTGATTTTTGGTTGTAAACGAAGAAGAAGATAGTAAATGAAAGAACTGGTAAACTGTCATTTGAAATACTGAGAGCTTTAAACATCTGCCAGTGACGTATTTGATTAAGAAATGCACTGTAGCCTGTATTTCAAAGGTCGCAATCCTCTAAATGAAAGTCTTTGCAAAACCATGTTTTATAGACCAGACTGTCAACAACATGGTGGCTTCGAAAATTTGGTCTGTTCTGTTGGCTCTTCTTTGCACTTTTTGCCAAAGAGCTATGTCATGTGGCTTATCAACACATCTTGAAATAGGTAAGATATAAAAGTGAAGGCATGAGCATGTGAGTAATACATTAAAATATTGGCTTTATTCTGTGGCAATCTTGGCTGAGAGGTAAAAGTTTGTTTAGTGATACAAATGTGCAGCTACTTACTAAAGAACATGGAGAATTTTCTATGATACTCTAAGCTACTTGAAACGCTATCTGGAGATGGCTAAAAATAAAACATGAAAAGAGTATACTGTAAGATTAACATCTCTTATGAACAGATAATAGTGTTGGCTCATATGCTCAGTCATTAATATCTTAACATTTGTGTGATATTTCAGCATTTAAGATTTATTTTTATATGAAAGCGCAATATGCAGACCTATTTTTGCAAATGATAAACAGTATGTCACTCAACTGCCTAACATTTTTTTAAAAAATCAAATATTATTTGGTGGAGGGGGGGACGGAAGAATTGTTTGTGTATTTCTTTGGCCACTGTATAGGTTACATAATAGTAGATTTTCCATTGCAGTGGGTTTCGTAATTAAGCTTCAGCTACTCATTATGTGGCTAGGAGGCAAGAGACGGATATGTGTTTCTTGCTGTTTATTTCATGGTGGTACTGGAGAAATTTGCATAGCTTACATGTAATATTTCAGCACTGACTTAAGAAAAAATAAATCTTACAAGATGAATTAATGTAAATCATTCCTGGTAGGATATCAGTGCTCAGGATTAGCATGCTCTTCAGATAAATTCATAAATAAAAATACTCTATTTTTGCACAAATGTCAAAATCTTGGCAAAATAATATTAGATCTCTGTTGATGTAGTTCGAGGGATTTCTAATAATACTTGTAAAGGACTAGTGAGTAAATATTACAATTTTTGACACTATATTACACATAATTCTTCTTACCAGGATAAGTAGGAAAGGGAATTATTCCTAATGAAGCCTGGAATTGGTTGAAGTGCCACATCCCAAAAATCACAATTTATTTGAATCTTGAAGAAAGATTTAGAAGATTCAGTATCTCTGATATTTTATATCGTAAAGATTAAATACAATATCTGTATTGGATCTGGGTGATTCTTGTAAATGCAGAAGGCCAGGTACGAATCTTTTCCATATTGTTTTGAAAACTTTGTAATTTAGCTACAAAAAGGAGCAGCTGTTTGTATGTTGATCAAAACTGCTGCCTCCTCCCCAATTTCCTACCAAGGTTAAATGCAGCCTGGGAGAGAAAGCAGCATAGATGGAAGAGTTACCCCTCTTTCCCATTATCATAGTCCTCCTGATCCATATCTGTCTCACGCACACTTGGCTTCTTTTTAGGGCCACATTTGGAACTCCTATGTCACATATAGTTTGCAATAGAGACAGGAGATCTGTGTTAAATAGTCAGCATCATCAAAGGTTGAATTAAAAATTATATGTGTATTGAAAATACGGTCTTATTGGGTCCTCTCTATCTGACATATATCACTTTGTATGAGAGAACCTATTCCCATGATGACAGGATAGTTGAAGCGATAGTTTTGGGGATCACTCTAGCAAACTCTTTTTATTTGATACCAATTATGTATCCTCACCCTAGTGAATTTATGCATCTCTAAGTTTATAGAGAGAATAATTTAATTAATTGTGATGTTACTTTTCTAGCTCACAGAGCTCTGGAATTTTTCAGCTCACAAAAAGGAAATGTTGACTACAAGAAGGTAGGAGACTAATCTGGTAATGTACTAATACACAGGTTATTTCCTTTTCTGTTGTTTTATGCTTTGTTTAGGCTTTGAGCTGCTTGAATTTATGGTTGTTCAGTCTGTGTGTCATATATGGGAATATGAGATTTATTAAAATTTCCTACTAAATTAAATTTGTTCGTGTTTACATTTAATATAGTTATTTGGGGCAATTGATGCAGTTAAACCTGTTGTATCTAGATACCATAACCTACAGTGTATAACAGTTTTATTATATAGAGCAATTGAAACAAATTGTTTGCTATCACTGTAGAATACTATTAGAATAGAAACTGTTGAATTCTCTAAATTATCACCATTATGAACAGTGAATCCTTGTGGTCAACTTCTGCCTTTAGCTGTTGGTAGAGATTGTTGGGTATTGGCTGTTCAGAATGAAAATTGTGTGTAATGAGTTGGTACATGCTAAATGAGATTACTTGAAAGAAATTTCATCCCTGTCTTTCATAGCCAAAGTTGATGCTTGAACTATCAACATTTGATTTTCTGCTAAGGTTCAAAGGCAGCTGTTTTTGTTATAATGTGAATTTAGCATATTGAAGCATATGTCTATAATCATGTAAGTTCTAGAAAATAGAAATGTGTCGTGGACCAGCCAAGCCCAGCAGAGCAAAGAGACGCTGAAGACTCCTCTGAGGAAGAGGCAGCCAGTAGACCTGACCCCAACCCACAGCCAGAGGGAGAGGCACTACAGGAGGAGGAGGCAGTCTTTGAGGGGGCAGACATAGATCTTCAGCCAGGAACCAGTGCACTGGCCCTTCATCCCTGAACTGACAACAGAGAGTTAGCTGCCGGTCAGTTCACCCTCCCCCCCCACCAGAGCCTTGGAAAATCCATAGGAGGAAGATGAGGAGAGACCTTCAAGACTAGCAGCACACCAACAGTGAGAATTAATGCTTGCAGGAGCAGGGCTGAGGCAGCTAGCAGGTGCAGGCTGCTGAGCAATGTGATGCTTAAAAGCAGCAGAGAAGGGAGTGGCTGTGTGGAAGCAACTTGTCTGTTAGCTACTGACCTGGCTGCCTGTACTCTGGATTGACTTATTTTTCTCTGATCCTTGTATTCTTGTTCTTGGATTTCCCTTTGGGCTTGAAGCTGTGAGTGTTGCCTACCCTTAGAACTGTATTTTGATGCCTGGCCCTGGAATTGCTTTACAAACTCCGATGCCTAGAAACTGTCTCTGTGTGCCTGCAGTCAGGACAAAATGGTTCAATGTTCCAGTAGGCTGTTGATTCCATGCTTGCTAAAAATATACCACATAATTAACATCCAGAATCCATTGGCAGAGTACATAGGTGGTTTTAATATGGATTATATGGCCAACCTAACAGTTCGAAAGCAAGAAATTGCAAGTAGATAAATAGGTACCACTTTGGTGGGAAGGTAACAGCGTTCTGTGCGCCTTGGTGTTTAGTCCTGCCGGCCACATGACCACGGAAATGTCTTTGGACAGTTCTGGCTCTTCGGCTTTGAAACGGAGATGAGCACTGCAACCCTAGAGTCGGATTCAACTGGCTTTCGAGCAAGGGAACCTTTACCTTTGCTTTATATGGCTTAGACAAATTCTTGCATGATAGGGCTATCTGCATGTTTATACCTGAAATTGGACCTCCATATTCAGAGACACTATACCTCAGTTCATAAGGTGCTAGGGACAGACCACTTGTGCTGTTGGAAGTTTACCAGACAGTATTCTTGAGTGGGTTTGACTTTGAATTCATGTGAATTTTAAGCAGTGTCCTTGTATATATGTGAGATATTGGTAATAACCTAATAATAATTTCCTTTTTTGATCTGATTCTTCGTCCTTCTCTCCAGTTGCTGCTAACCCACCCGGATGCTTATCAGGCTGGGAGTGTTTATCCTGATGCCTTTTACTCTGGTATCTGCAAAAATGGTAAGAAATGGAAGAAATGTTATAAAAATGTTTGAAAAAACACTTCTGACAAGCAGCCTGAGTCTTACAGCATTCATGCTGATTGGTTAGAGGCTCCCTTTGTTGGACCATAATTGTGTCCTTGGAGGGTCTGGATAGAACCTACTGTTGTTGATGGAGTGACTGTCCAGAAAAGCTATTTGAGGAAGAATCAGCTAGGAAGATGACAACCATGCTGAAGACTGGAACCAATCTGTGTCCATCATAAAAACCTGGCAGCTTAGTTTGCAAACTGTTTTTGTTGAAGTACTGGAAAAGAAAGCCACTTTTGTCAGATGGATTACTGATCTGATCCTAGCTAGGGAATTGGAGAATTAGTGGAGTTAAATCAATTTTAGCTCCACATTTGAATGGAAATAAAGCAGTTGCAACACAAGTAATTTAACATATTGGGGTTATAAATATCTAAGTACTTTGAAGATATTGTTAAGGACTCATTCACACTTTAAAAAAATAGATTCATGCTTTGCACTGGTAAAATTGTAATGTTTTCATGAACAGATCTGACCTGGTTTAGTTTGATCTGCTAACACATAATCTCATAACTTCCAGATTGTACACTGCTGTGAAAAGTTGTAGGAATCTTCAGCTGGTCCAAAATGTAGTCATTTGGCTGTTTTCTGGGGCGTGACCCTGTTTATTCAAGCCAGTGTTTCATACTGTTGTTGCCCACCTGTGGTTGTGCTTAATGATGTTTCCAGTTCTTCTCTCTTTTCTAAAATCACAATTTAGAATTTCTTGAACTCAAGAACATTGCTAGAGCTCAAGACTATGTAACACTTACCCATTTGACATCCAAGATTAAACAATATGCATTTCACTTTGCATTGTCTTTATGGTACAGCCAAATCCAAGACCTGATAGGTACTACATAAATCAAGAGCCCTGGTTATAGAACTCCTTTTCAGAACTGTGTCTCAAAATTGCTTATTTGACTCAAGATATTTGATTTGTCAGTTGTGAAGCAGATTTTCATAAAATCCCATGCACTCAGTGAGATGCTAACATTCCACTTCACTCTGCTCAGTTTTCCATCTTGAGTGCAGAATCTTATCAGTATCCAGCTTAAAGGTGTGGAAGTAGAATCAACAAACTCTCACTTGAAATTTCACCAACAAAGGGAGTAATTGTTATTGTCAGTGTTCAATCTTTGAAAAAAGCATTTTTGTAAAGCTAACTTTGTGTATTTGGATACCTTAATCAGCAGTGCAGGAGAAGTCTGATCAGTGTGTTTGTCTGTTCTCCCAATGTCTTCTGTGTATACATTGATCTGTTGAGTACAACTTTGCACAAGTAACCCATGTAAGAAACTGTACATTTTTCAATTACTTGTAAATAAATGTGTAACCTCAAGTGCTTACAGTTTAAAGAGTATTATATTTATACTGTAAGGCATACAAAAATGATTTTCCTTGAGTTTCTTGCTACAAAAACTTCACAAAGTATTACATATTTCAAATGTTCCATTGGCTAAAACTGCAACGTGGAGGAAATAGAATTTTTTGCTGTGAAATTTTGTTTTCCTCTGACACTTCAGGTTTATTTCATCAAGTATCTGAAGACACACACTGGGCACCCTTTCTCAATAAAAGTATCCACTACATCAGAAAGAATTATCCACAGCCTTGGGAAGAGGTAATACAAGTACAACTATTTATTTAAATCATGTCATTCTCATTGTCTTACTCATTCAAATGGAAAGCAACAGAGAAAATCATTAAATAAATTTGATGTTTTTAATTATCAGGTGTAAAATGGAATGAAGTACTTACATTGGTAGCTTAAGATTCTGCTCTTGTAATGCTTAACTCAGATAAATGTTACTTATATGTTCTTAGTGAATCAAATATTCATTAGTTAATGTGAAAACTTAATTAGCTTACATTTGATTTTAAAAAGGCAACCATGAAACACCTTTAAAAGGTCCTTGGATGTAAACTTGTAGCTTTTGGTAAGATTCTTTAGAAAGCTGATGTCTTCATTTTAATCAGGCAGTTATTTAATCAGACTGATATTTAATTTATGAATAGTTGTAGCATATTCATGATAACAAGTGGATACAATAGTAGCTGAGCCACACTATAATCCAACAAAAAGTACTAGATATGTGGCTTCAGAGTAGCATGTAAAAATTGTTTATAACATTATGAAAATTTATTTTACTGTACTGACACCAAACATTAAATAATAAGTGCGAAATCAGTTGGAAGAGGAAGAGTTGTTTTTTATACCCCACTTTTCTCTACCTGAATGGGTCTCAAAGCGGCTTACAATCACCTTCCCTTCCTCTCCCCACAACAGACACCCTGTGAGGTAGGTGGGGCTGAGAGAGCTCTGAGAGAACATTGACAGATCCAAGGTCACCCAGCTGGCTTCATGTGGAGGAGTGGAGAATCAAACCTTGTTCTCCAGATTCGAATCTACCGCTCTTAACCACTACACCACGCTGGAGGAATTTACACATCACAAAATACCACCACATCACGCTGGAGGAATTTACATATCACAAAGTACCTGTTCGAATAATTACACAATAAGTTGGCAATTTAAAAATGCAATTTGGCAGTCAATTTACTGAGAAACGTAGTAAATCTTCATAGTAATTGTGGCGAAACGGGGACCCGCCCTCAGCCCTGGGAGACTGAGGTGCCATCCTATGGCTCGCAAGCCCCTGTTTTGGCCTTCCCACCCTGCCTGGTGGGACTATTTCTCTTTATTAACGCTGCCACCACTCACTGAATTGAGTTACCGCCTTCCTTGAGGGACAGTGAGACCCCTCTGGCTAAATTCCCCACCTTGGGAAGTGGGTACCTCAATCTTTGGGTGCCCCCTGGGGAGTTGGCAACCCCTCAGATTTGGGCCCGTTTGTGTTTCCTGGCCTCCCTTTGCCCCTGGTAACTTGCAGAGTGGGGAGGACTATGTGGTTAAGGCACACCAGGCTTTTTAAACTCAAAAAAGGAAGATTTATTTAACTATATACATATTGGGCACAGAAAATAAACACAGGCACTTCAACACAACTGGGGCATAGAAAATAAACAGGATAAAAATGCAAGTCCTCTGTCCCTACCCACACACCCTCTCTACCCCTGTAGTGGGTTGTGGCCTCAGGCCCAGATTTGCGTTTCCCCCTCCTGTTGTGGAGAGAAACTCCAGCCCTCCTCCACAGGACTGGCCACCAGCACTGTCACCCTCCACACACGTAAGGAACTACCAGGCTGGCATCCATTTTAAGGCCTGGCAGCCATTTCGTCACAGTAATCAGTAAAGAGCTGTTGATGAAGACAGATGTTGAATGGACAGGGTGCCGGCTCTTTCCTTTCCTTTTATTCCCTTAGAAGCTCATTGATTCATAAATCTTGAGCAGCGGGAAATACTTATTCCTTATTCTTTGGATGAAAGGGCTAAAAGGACTGAAACAGATTTTGCGATTACCAAGGTAAACTTAGGATTGTTACTGCCAATGCGCCCTCTAAGCTGTGGAGTCCTGTGAGCAAAAATTCTAATTTGTGAGCTACTGGCATTAAAGTTGTGAGTGAGTGATTTGGCTACTGCATAAATGAGCAAAGACAAAAATGTGTGAGCTGGAGGCTTAAAAACACACTAACTAAGCTTAGAGGGAACACTGGTTATCGCTAAGCAACAGAACCCAGGTTTTTTGAGTATAAGGGGGTGGGGGTAGCTGCTCTACACTTGTTTTGAAGTTTTCTTCTTCAAGGCCAACCTCTCACATTTCAATTGCAGCATATCAAAAGCTTAACAAAATTAAAACAAAGTTTACTGCCAGACAGTTGTAACTAGATAAACACATATCATTCCTCCCATGTAATAACAATAATAAAGCAATACATTTCAGTTGCCCCACATCACATTGCATTCAATTGCACCACATCACATTTCAGTTGCACCACATCAATTGCTTAACAGTGTTCTTCTAAACAGCAGTCTTAAAATGCTCTCATGTGGATCAATTATAAATACCCTGTTAAAATAGCAAATAATATCACTTCATTGTATTAAACATTCACAAGCATCAGCTGCAAACCTCTTATATTCAAAAGATATTCTACTGCTTGAAGATGCAGTGGGTCATACACAATACCATATTGCTCAAACAAAAGAGTGCAATTGATATTTCTCATTCAACCCAAATGGAACCACAGAATGCAGGGTATAAATTCAATAAGATTCTTGTTGTTGTAAACACTTGACTATATATAATTTATTGTAGGTTTAATTAACTGATCTGTAAAAAAAAATTAAAATCAGTTGGTCTGTTTTCCCTCGGATGACCGTGGCCCCGCCCCCAGCATGCCCGGCGTAGTCGCGTCACTTCCGGGTGACGTGCACGTTGTGTGCTTTGGAGGTGGGGTTCCCCCCGGGGCCCGATCTGCTGGTGGCGGGGAACGGGCCTCTGGGGCGGGGGTTTCCCCGCCTCCCGGGAGGACTTGGTAAGCCTATGATGTTCTGATATTCATATGTGCACTTGGTGAGAAATCATACCTGCATGTAACAATTTACAAGGACAAATCAAAACTTATACTACATCAGTTGAACTGCAGTCTAAAAATGTGTCAATCAGACTCAAACTAATGCAACCCATACACTTATAATGTCCTACTTTTTAAAGGGGAGCCCTAACTATCGAAAAGACAGTATGCACTACACTACTATGTCTTTAATTGAGCTGGGCCTCCTGTAGCCTATCTTGAGGAGTGCCTCACATCCTGAAATCTTCCAGACAGTATGCCAGTGTCAATATATAGTCTTAATTCTCCTGATAGAGAAGAATTTTCAAGGAGAAGAATAAACCATTATTCAGTGGTTTTGATTGTATATGTAATAGATCCTGCTGTGCTCTTGAGTCTGCCCTTTTGCCTGCATCCTGAATAATTCTATATGGGTAGCCCCTAGCCATTAATTTAGAACACAATTTGTCAGCATGGACTAAATAATCACTGTGCTGGAAAGAATTACGTTTAATACGAAGAAAATGACCATACAGTATATTTTGTTGTAAATGCACATGATGGTAACTGTTTCAGTGCAATAATGAATCTTAGTAAATAACATCTTATTGGGCACAAAACTTCTGTATCTAAAAATGCTATCCTCTCATGATGGGTTGTCATTGAAAAATGAACGGTGCGATGTAAGAAATTCAACCATGCCAAAAATTGTACAGAATCCTTCATGTCTCGAAAATTCATAAAGATCTATCAATGTATCTCAGGTATACTGAGATCTTATCTTTATAAGGGTTCAATGATTGAAAGATTAAGGTGTCTTCAAAATGTGCCATAAATAAATTAGCTATGGTGAGTGCAGTGGGACTACCCATAGCCATCCCTTGAACCTGAAAATGGAATTGGTTTTGTGCACAAAAATAATTTTTCTCTGAAATAATGTCCAACAATGGTATTAAAAAGGAACATGGTAGGGATTGATTTTCTCTTTTCTCTAGTAATAATTCTGCAACTATCCTAGCCTCATCATTAGGGAATTAGAACCAGAAACTATCAGTCTACCAGGTGGAGGACTACCCTCTTAAGGAACTTTTGGCAAAATGTAAAAAATAGGAACTCTATAAACTTCATATATCAAAAAACCCTTATCAGCAGGCTTTATAACTATTGAGGGTTCCTCACTAAGTTGTTTAAGGACTAAAGAGGGTAGATGTTTATAGAATTCCTGTTTTTTACATTTTGTCAAAAATTCATAAAGATGGTAGTCCTCCACCTGGCAGACCGATAGTTTCTGGTTCTAATTTTATTTTTGAACCATTAGCGCAATTTGTGGATAGCTTTTTGAGTCCCTTTGTATCAAAAACCCAGTCCTGTGTTAGAGATACCACAGATTTCATTACTAAAATAGAAGGACATATAGGCACTATATACTAACATGCCTCATGATGAGTCTAGGATAACAATATGGTATTATGTATGACCCACTGTATCTTTAAGAAGTAGACTATCTCATGAATATAAGTGGTATCACTTTATTATTGTTATTACATGGGAGGAATGATACGTGTTTGGCTAGTTACAACTATTTGGCAGTAAACTTTGTTTTAGTTTTGTTAAACTTTTGTTATGCTGCAATCGAAATGCGAGAGGTTGGCCTTGATGGCCTTGAAAAAGAAAACTTCAAAACGGGATTAGAGCTGACACCCCATTCCATCAATATCTCTCTTTATCAACATCTCTTTACTGATTACTATGAAGATTTATTACATTTCTCAGCAAATTCCTGCCAAGTTGGATTTTTAAATTGCCAACTTATTATATAATTATTCAAACAGGTATTATGTGATACATAAATTCCTCCAACTTGATTTCTCACTTAGTATTTAATGTTTGGTGTCAGCACTGTAATGCTGTAAATAATTTTTTACATGCTACTTTGGAGCAACATAGTTAGTACTTTTTGTTGGATATTCTTCATGATGTCATATCTCTCTTCTTTAAATCCCTCCTCAAACCCCACTTTTTCTGTGAAGTCTTTTTCGGAGTCCTTTTCATCAGCTGAAACTGAGTTATGTCCTTCTGAGTCTGTTGAAGTCATTGGGATGAGAATCCATTTAGGTTTGCAGTGTAAGCCTAGCCCAACTACATGGAACAAACCTGAATGCATATTCTTCCCATTTACTCTTGTCCCTTCTTTGTCCCTGTCAAAACGTGTTTTAAATGCCTCGAAGCTGGGAGCACTCTTTGAACTTTTGTTCACTGAAGTATTAAGCACATTATAGTGCTAGATAGCTAATTACTAACACCAGTGAGCCTCCATGTTTGCAGAAGCACAGACGGGATTTCATTAGTAAAATTCTTTCAAATAAAATGTATCAACCTGTTCTTTTTTAAAAAAAGTACTGTTAGAATTTGGTTTAAATGCAGTTGTGTATTTTTACTGCTGTCATGTAGGCTACAGAGAAACTGGTGGCTTTTCTTTTTGGAATTGCTTCTCACATGGTGGCAGACGTGAGCTGGCATAGTTTGGGGATTGATCAAGGATTTCTACGAGCGATGGCAGCTGTAAGTTTGCACCCTTCTATTAATTAGGGAGAGCCAGGGGCTTTTCAGTGTGACAAAAGCATATTTCAGCAGCATTTATCTTTCTGTACTATTGTTTGCTTTCAGCGGTAGCAGCATATCTTGTATGCTTACAGTGGGGTGGGCGAAATGTGTTCTGGCCCATCATTTAAAAACATAAGTAGGTAAATATGCACAGTCTCCAAAGATTCTAGGGACTGAGGACTACAGGCTAGTCCAGAAGCTTCCTTTAGTGGGGAAAGTGCAGATCAGAAAAAGGAACAGGGATTAAGACACCCCTGAGAATCTTGCATGTCAGTTTCACCTCAATTTTAGGTAATTTAGAACAGGTGAAATTGATTGCAGAGTTACCTGAGTCTATTGCTTGTTCTGGCAGTAAATACAGGTATGAGAAAGGCTGTTTAGAGAAGCACAGGCTGTGGTCATACACACTAAATAATCTACTTTCAATGCACTTTCAATGCGCTTTCAAATTGGATTTTGCCAGTTCACACAGTAAAAATCCAGTTGGAAGGTGCATTGAAAGTGCATTGAAAGTGGATTATTTAGTGTGTGTCACCGCAGCCACAGTAACTTTTTGTGACCATATTGGACCTAATTAATTCAAATAGGGCAAGGAAGGATTTTTGTTTCCTAGAGGTATTATCTGGACTTGCTGTGTAGCTTTCTTTTTCTCTTTTCCACCTCTCGTAATGATGAGATTGGTTTCCCTGCAGTTCATCCAAAGTGAAAGCAACAGAAGTAGTGCTTTCCTGAATAATTCCTTTCATGACTCATCCTTTTACTGGGAATGAGTTCCTTGCAGAGATGTGGCAGTGTTTCTCTTTGCTGAGCCTTTTGAAAGAAACGCAAGGCCCATTTATTTTAATTGGTAGCTGAATTGTGGGGGAACTAAAACTGCTGGTCTTATTTGTCATGACACGGCTGAATTTTTAGATATGCAAATGACACGGACTCAAAGTTTCTGTGTACATTACTACCTAAAAGTGATTACTTAAAGCCCTTTGAAGGCTCCTTGCTAAACCTACCTGTTTTGGTAGAAGCTGAATGAAATAGTTCGACAGTTTTGAAGTTAGCCGGAGAATAAAGAACTCCAAAAACAATAGCTGTTCAATAACTTGTATTATGAGCAACCAGAATCACCCAACATAAAATGTAAACTTTTAAGTTCTCCAAATATCTTAATCAGGATAGATACTAAAAAAAAAAAGAGGGGGGGGGATATTTCAGGCTTTTTATCATCTGTTGTTTTTTTAGCATCTAGCCTGATATAAGCTTGCATGCTATATTGTGTTATTATGGTTGGTGTTAATAAATCGCTCAAGTTTTATTTTGGGAGTTTGCTATTGGCCAGCACAGCCACCTACCGCTTTTATCTATTTTAGAGAAAAACCTATGCAGAGAATAACATGCTTAAGAAAGGAAGAAAGTTGCTCCAAATAACTATGTAGTTTGTATTACTGAAAAAATAATAAAATAGCAAATGAGGTGGTGTCAACTGAATTCTTTCCCTTACTGTATAAAATCATTTTAAATTGTTTTCATTTTCCTCAGATTGATTTTCATGGATCCTATTCAGAAGCTCATAGTGCTGGTGATTTTGGTAATTCATGTATTTATGGATCTAACTTATGATGTAGTAGCTTGTATACATAGGCACTAAGTATGTACACAATAGCACAGCATTGTTAGCCCTGAGAGGACCTGAGTCTGTAGTGCTCGTGTTTCCTCTGGAGGTTATGTCAGGCCAGTGGCGCCTGTTGACTTAAAAGCTGAAGTGCACATGGGAGTGCTGCATATGAGTGGTTCTCCTCCTCCTTTAGTGTCAGGCTCCATTGTATTTCTTTAATTATGTCATTTATACTGTGCCTTAAGAACATAAGATGACAAACAAGTGTGGCTGAATTTTTAGAGGCCGTAGTAAAATTGTGTTGTATCTCAGGTAGTAAACCTTAGACTTCCCTTTTAGTGTGTAATGCTTTGCTGTTTATGACTTGTCTCAAAACCATAATTAAGATGAAGAATACATAATAAAAGACCTGATGGATCAGACCACTGGTCCCTCTAATCCAGCATAGTGTTCCACACAGTGGCCAACCAGTTGTCCCGAAGGGACATACAAACAGGGCATAGAGCAGGGCTGGTTTCAGGATTATGTGGTCCCTGGGCAAAGGAGCATAACTAGGCCCCCTTTCCCCTTTGTTATGACCCCTTTTTCCTTCCAATCATACCCCTTCCATGAGGTCCCTCCATTTTTCATTTCAATTTGCTTACTATGGTAAAGAGAAATCATACCAAATTGTGCTTTCTTAGTTACTTTTATTACTTTGTATAAAACCAAAAATAAGTAATTATGCCTTCCATGATTTTATTTGGAGGGCGTTCGATACAATTGGTATCATTTGTGTAAAAGCAATAAAAATATCAATCTGGAGAAACCTCAGTCTCATGGTCTGTGCAAAAGTTTCTCCACTCTCATCAATGAAAGTGAGGAGGCCAATTCATGTCCATCCAAAATGCTTAAGCAATTAGTCCTAACATACTGAAGATGTTCATTTGGAAACATCAGGTAGAAGGAAGGAAGCGTAATTTCAGCACTCAACACTGGATTAAGGGAGCCATCAATTAACTAATGGAAGAAGATAGAACGTATTTTTCATATTGAGAAAGGTATCATTCAGGTTTTTTGAACAACGAGCTACATCTTTGATACCGCTAATGTAATCCTCTAACAAATATTACCTCCCAAATTGTTGCTTTTATACATACATACTGTTTTAAAACTTGATCTATATTATATTTTTTTAACTGTTGTCTGCCTTGAGAGCCCTAACTGGGTAAAAAGATGGCCAAGTATATTTTTTGCCGGTGTGTACCCATAATGATCAAGATGTGTACCATGAGAAAGCACCTCTAATGCATTGACTAGTTGCAGCAACTCCAACAAAACTGATTTGGCAGCATCTACTCCAACATGTAGCACTCCAAGATGTTTGAGACAGAGCTTTCAAAATCAGTTTTGGCAAAGTCTGGTCCCTGCCACACGGCAGGAAAAAGGACGGTCGAACTGCGGCTAATCTGAGCTGCATCACAGTTGAGACGCCGTGGCGGGATCTCACGGATCCCCCCAGCCGCGGTGCCGTCGCTCCCCGGCACGATCAGATGCCGGGGAGAATGCAATGGTGGGAAGGGGAGCCTGGCAAACTGCGCATGCTCACACATGCGCAGTTCGGCCAGGAGCCGGGGATGCGCCGGCGCAAGGACACGCCGGTGATCCCACGGCCGCACTTGCCGCGGCCCAATCGAAAGAACCACCCAGGTAGGTGGTTGTTTTTTGGTGCGCTGTATGGGTGGGATGAGACGGTTCGGAGACGGTAGCACGACGTTCCCCAGATGTTGCTGTGGGATCACGCCTGTTTGCTCCGGCCCCGATCCGTCCTTCTCCCGGCCCAAACGGCTCGTATGAACAGGGCCTCTGTAAGGCCACTTCCCAGCGTTATGTGATGTAGTATTACCAAAAAAATCCTTTGCCTGACCAGAAGTGTCTGTAGCATACATCAGCACAAGATTCCAGAGAACAAGTTACAAAGAATGCCTGGGGATCCCCCCCCCCCCGAACAATGGCTTGCATTCCTTTGGCACTATTATCACAGTATTGGCTACCTTTATTAGATGCCACCAATCCATACTTTTGTCACAGTCTTGCAAGACCTTTTTCCTGTTGTATCTGTGACATGCAGAAATTTCAACAAGTTCTCCTTGATTGTCCATTATTAATAAAGTGAGGGGGAGTTTATGTCATTAGAGTGATCACTTTGTCCCTTGGAACCATGGTGAGAGCTTAGCATCCATTACCATAAAGTAATAAAGTTGCAATTTTCCACTTTACTGTAGTGTGAAGTTTGCAAAGTGAGGAAAAACACAATTATATCACAACAGCAGCTCTCATTATTTTCCACTGGTGGCTCTCATTGGTTGGCAAATGACCCACTAAGCCCAGTTTTGATGCCAGGCCTGCCATAGCGGCTGAGGCCCTCCCCTGCTGCTGCCTCCCAGCACTGGTATTCAAAGGTGTGCTGCCTCTGGATATGTAAGCTCCCTTCAGTGATCATGGCTAGTAGCCATTCATGGACCTCTCCTCCACGAATCTATTGGATTATTTGGCTAGTAGTTAGCAGAGTGCTCAAGGTTTACAGTGCAGCAGAGCCCATCTGGAGTGAGTGTGCTACAGGAACAGTTATACAGAGCCTTGTTACAGTTGTTAGACTAGGAGCCCTTTATTATATGGAACTCCATTCTAGACAGATAGCGAAGAGATAGATTCTCTAATCTAGTTTAACTAGATGGGTGGAGAGATACAGGAGGCGTGTCGTGCTCTCGTTGTGCCAAGATGAAGAAGTCTAGCACACTGTGTGTGGAGGGAGAGACTGGAAGGAAGTTTCCCTAAGAGTAGCAATCTACACATCAAAGGGATAGCATCAGAGGAGAGAAGGAAAGGGTACTTAGTGTCCTTACCTGTCTATCTCTCTGACTCTCTTGTAGTCTTCCTCTGAAGTCTGAGGCTAAGAGACAGCGCAAAGTCCTTCCAAAAGAATCTGTCTAAACCCCCCCCCCCCAAGCCATTTATGCTCAAGGCCATTACTACCTCCACTGGCAGTGAATTCCATAATTTAACTACTCATTTCCCTTGTTTCTGTGTCTTCCCTGTTAGCTGGTACTGACCCTAGCATTACTTTGGCTGCCACTGAATTTCTGACAGCAGTGGCTTCTATGTGAGAATTGAAATAGAGGATGATATTTGTAAGACTGGTTCTGCCCAAGACGATTGGGTCATTGGCGTGTTAAATAAATAAAGTTCAATTACTCGTTGAGTAAAGAATTTCTTTTGTCTGTTCTAAACTTCCCAACAATTTTGTTGGATGCCTCTGAGATCTAGTATTATGGGAAAGGGAGAAAAAGCTCCTTCTATCCATCCTCTACCCTGTGCATAATAACCCTAACCCTCTATCGTGTTTCCTCTTAGCTGTCTCTTTTTATAGACTGAAAAGTCCCAGACTCTCCATCCTTTTCCCATAGGAAAGGTACTCCAGCACCCTAAGTCTCTTGGTTGCCCTCCTTTGTACTTTTTTGCCCAGGAGAGACCCAGAGCAGTTTACATCATTCTCCTCGCCTTCATTTTATTCTCACAACAACCCTGTGAGGCAGGTTAGGATGAGCATGTAACTTGCCCAAGATCACCCAGCAAGCTTCCATGGCAGTGTGGAACTTTGGACTGGGGTCTCCCAGATCCTAGTGTGATACTCTAACCACTACACCACACTGGCTCTCACCAATTGGTTGCTGCAGTTTGAGCTGTGCTGCATGTGTAAAAGGTTCATAGCTTTCCTTTGGCTTTTGACAACATATTCATGGCTTTCCTTTGCTTCTATATTAAATAAGTTCAATACATGGCTAGAGAAGTTCAACACATTCAAATAATTTAATACAAGATCCTAACTTAATACAGATCCTAACTTTTTTTTTCAGCTGCTGTAGTGAAATATCAGGATCTATTTTACAGTTTTTAAAACTTGGTTCTTCAGTGCAGGTTTTTTCGTATCTTCACATGTCAGGTTTTTGTGTTCAGATCTGGGATTTTGTTTTTGATACCCACTTGGACTTCTGGATTGCTCCATCTTTCAGACAATCTTGTATTCATGACTTTGAATATTCCTTTCTAGCTCAGAATAAATTTCTGTATAAAGCACAACTGCAAACTGTGTTCACAATTCACAGCAATATTTTAACTGTATTTACAAGTTTGCATGGAGCCAGTGGGACTTCGTGAAACTGCAGACCCTAGGGTTGTATAATAAATATTTTCTGAAATGTCTCTAAGCTTCAAAAGCAGTTTGTTGAGCTTCGGAAAGGCTGCAGTTATAGAAACGAATTCATTTCCTCTTTACAACAGACACACTCAGAGCTGCACCCATGTTGCCTCCCTGTGATTCTATGCCATGTGGCTGCTACATGTGTGTAAACAGCAACCCCCTAGAAGGGGGTTATTGTGTGGCTCTTTCCCACCTGAACTTCTCTAGCCATGCCCAGGTACTAGTCAGATGGGAAAGATGCAGGCGATTGCCTCCTCCCACATTCTTACAGTATTCAAAAGTGTATCAGAGGGGCATGAGACAGAATCTTGGGGAAACAGTTTTCCAATAGCTGGGCCATGTGTAGGCAAAGAGATCCATATCCAAAATCTAGTTGTACCCATGAAAATAGTTACATGGTATTTTGGTCTTCCAAACATGCTCTAATAATATACAATACTGTTTGTATGCTTTTTGTTACAATAACTGGATATATCATGTTCTTTTTCTTTAATAGGAGGAGATGTGCTGAGCCAATATGAGCTTGATTTTAACTATATGGATCCAAGCTGGTAAGAGTGGCAAAAATAGCTGTTGGGTTTTTTATATCTGTATAAAATAAACTGCATTTAACAAGCAGTAGTAATCAGAGTCATTATTTCTCTCTCAAATTGGGACATAGGCACTTGAAAAATCTGATAAGTGGTGGATATGGGCAAGCATTATTATCTGAACTTAATCTCAGCTGGATCTCATCAGGGCTGAACTCTTGAATTGCTTTTTTGGTAAAATCACTTGAGTTATGGCTGGATGAACGAGTTTGTGTGTGGCCATTTTTTTGTTATTTGCCAATCATTTTCAAAAATTGTCATTTGGAAATTAAAGTAATTTCAAAAATGCCACTGGTGGTATCCCTTCTAGCTCTGAGGAGGTGGGCATCTTGATATGGGTGCTACCACCAATTGTTCAGGGAGGCAGGACTAAACTCTTCAACTTCCTGACTCTTGGGTGGGCATCACCCTGGCTCAGTTTGTTTCCTGCCTTTGCTCTTTTCTACCTGCCTTTCTCCTAGAGCGATTTCAGACCTGAGGGAGAGTTTCCTAACCCCTCCAGCCTGTCTCTCTTCCTCTTCACACCTTCTTTTCACACCACCTCTCGACTCTGCTGCTTCCTTTGTCTTCCAGATTTTTTCTCTGCTGTCAGCCAGGAAAGGCCTGTGTGTCTTTCGCAAGGACAAGGTGGTGCTCTTGCTGGATCCCTCCTTTATTCCAGAGGTGAACTCAGCCTTCCACAGGAGTCAAGAAATTCATCTCCCCATCCTTCTGCCCACATCCTAGCCAACCCAAGGAGAAAGATTGGCACTCAGTCTTCTGGAGGGCTCTCAGAATTTACCTCCGACATACAGAGTACATCAGAAAGAGACTCTCTTTCCATTTCATTAACAGCACCAAATAATGGGAAGAAGATGGCCAGATCAGCCATTAGCTATGCCATTTGCCAGTGCATCGCCCATGCCTGCAAGGCAAGCAACATTCCAGCCCCTACAGCGATCACAGCATACTCTGTGAGAAGTGCAGCCACTAATGCAGTCTTTGATCATCAAGCATCAGTGGAGGAAAATATGCAAGGTGGCCACATGGACCAATATCAACACTACAAACTTAACTCCTTCTCCTTGGCCAACGCCATCTTTGGACATAGTGTGCTGCAGGATGTGGTGGATGATAGTTAATTCCCACCTATCTCTGGGACACCACATTTAAAAAAAAAAATAGTTTTTGAAGTCCCATATCAAGAAGCCCTCCTCAGAGTGAGAACGGAACCTTGGATACTCACTGTGAGGGTTCTTTCTGCTCTGAGGTTAGGAGGGCATCTTGCCCCACCCCCACCCTAAAAAGGAGTCCTGAGTCAAATCAATTTTATGTGCTCAAGCAATGGGGGGGAAGATGCGTTCTTGCTGAAATCTTCCCTTAATCCCACTTATACCATTCCTCTGGTTATCAGTCGTCTTGTTTCTAATAGTGGGTTACCGGTTCTGGTGGCCAGTTCGGTGTAGTGCTTAAGTGCGTGGACTCTAATCTGGGAGAACCAGGTTTGATTCCCCACTCCTCCACTTGCACCTGCTGGATGACCTTGGGTAAGCCATAGTTCTGGCACAGCTGTTCTTGAAAAAGAGCAGTTTCTGTCAGAGCTCTCTCAGCCCCACCTACCTCACAGGGTGTCTGTTGTGGGGAGGGGAAGAGAAAGAAGTTTGTAAGATGCTCTGAGACTCCTTTGGGTAGTGAAGGGAGAGGTATAAATCCAATCTCTTCTTCTTCTGTTTGAGAGCCAGTTTGGTGTAGTGGTTAGGAGTGTGAACTCTAATCTGGGAGAACTGGGTTTGATTACCCGCTCCTCCATATGCAGCTGCTGGCATGACTTTGGGTCAGTCATGGCTCTCTCAGAGCTAATCTCTCAAGAGAAGTTCTCAGTCAGAGCTTTCTCAGCCCCACCTACCTCACAGGGTGTCTGTTGTGGGGAGGGGAAGGGAAGGGAAAGGAGATTGTAAGCCACTTTGAGACTCCTTCAGATAGTGAAGGGCAGGGTATAAATCCAATCTCCTCCTCCTCCTCCTCTGTTCCTTCCAGTTCCTTGGTTCATTAGCTCATGAAGTAACCAAACAGAGCCAGGGTGACACCCACCCAGGAGACAGGAAGTTAAAGAGTTTAGTCCTGCCTCCCTGAGCAGTTGGTGGGAATCACCCAAATCAAGATGCCCTTCTAACCTCAGAGCAGAAGGAACCCTCACCAGGTCCGTAGCTAGGAAATTTTTAGTGGGGGTGGGAAAAGTGGCCCCCCCAAAAGCTCCACACATGTGCACTGATGTCACAAAAAGTGCACTGATGTCACAACAAATAAAAAATCAAATAAAAATTAAAAAATGCTCAGACTGCTGCTGCTGCCAGCACTGAGATTCAACCCCCCCCCCGGTCTCCCTCCCTCCCTGATTCTGAGCTGAGGCATGGATAGAGGGTGCCCAGCTTACCTAGCTCTGTATTCAAATGGCCATGTGATGTGGAAACCCGGCAGCACCAGCCCCCAAACAGGGACTCAGGAGTCAGAGAGAAATGAAATTGCTTTTAAATGTACAAGGCACACAGATTTAGTGGCCTCCCACTTCTACAGAAAGATGATATTTCAGCCCTCACTGGGTGCGGAACCCTTGGAATTGGGCTAAACGGGAAAGCGGGAGCGAGGGGGGGAGTGGAGAAAACTGATCCGGGAAAGAAAAACAGAAGTGATTATCAGGGAGAGGCAAAGCACAAGCGGCTTGGAGGGGAACAGGAGCTGGTGCTGGACCAACACTGACAGGCAGGGGTGAGGGGGAGCCAAGGATCGGGGGAGGGGCCTGTAAAAACCATGGGGGGGGCAGGCCCCATGGGCCTTGTGGTAGCTATGGGCCTGACCCTCACGATGAGTATCCAAGGTTCCATTTAATTGATTTTATGAAAATCTGTCATGTACATTTAAAGTTAGGAGGTTCATAAGATGAAGTTTGAGTTAGTAATGAGTGAAGCATGGGAAATTACATAATGCTGGACATTTGTAATCATGAAAGCCAGATTGGAAAGGGGTGGAAGGAATGAGCTATAAGCTGCATAAAGGTTGCCTGATAAAACCATTATAAAATAGATAGGATTTTTCCTTTCAGTATGAAATGTTCTGGAGATCTCTTATGTAACAATAGAAACTATGCAGATTTCAGAAGAATTGGGTGGAAAATGCCTGAGTTATAACTGTTCAATATTTTATCTTTCATGTACCATAAAGAAACAAAAGAGTTATAGTCCTGACTTCTGATTTCCATTTAAATTGTACCATATGCAGAAAGGGAACATGGGATTTTCATACTTCGTTGCCTTAAAGAGGTGGCTGTAGTGTTAATATCTTACAACTGTTTTAGGTATGTACCTGTCAAAGATTTAATGTCAATCTATGAGGAATTTTATGGCAAAGAAATCATAACTGAAGACACTATTATTGAATGTACATATCTACAGTTTCTTGGATTGTAAGTAAGACCAAACTTCTGTTGTTTCATTTTTTAGACTACGTAAAGAATATTATGTTTGCTAATTTTGGATTGTAATTACTAAGAGACTGCTGGATTTGGTAGATAAGTTTTCATTTTCAAGCACTGGATAAGCAATTGGGTTGGCTCAAACAAATATGGGTGGTGGTAGGATTGGACAAGCACAGGGGAAGAGGGGAGAGTTAAACCAGAAAGATTTTTTTGTTAGATTATGATCTCCAATAAAAGGAGTGAAAAAACAGGAGTGAAAAGAAGGCTATTTGGTTGTTGATTATATAGTTTTTAAAGTATCTTAAAAATGTAGGGATGTTTGGACATGTAGTATTGGAGATGAATATTCACCAGGAGAAAATATTTTTAAATGGTCCAAGCCTTCTGATGGTCAGTTGAATAGGGTAGTGTATACATCTATGTACTTTAAAATATTTAATTGTTGCCCCCATCCAAAATGTATTTCTTTGCACATTATTTATTTATGTAAAATATTTATAACCCCCTTATTCACCTGGATAGGGCTGTATGCATTTTGATTGGTTAACTGGCTCAACTGAATATCTTGTTTAGTAATAGACAAACAAGGGACATGCAAGGACTTGCACAGAGCACCTCATTTTCCTTTCCCCCATTATTTCCACTGTTCCTTTTCTGAAAGCCTCCATAGCCTCTTCCCTTTTCCTGCATCCTTCTCTCTTTCCCACCCCCCTCCAATCTACCTTTATCAGTCCAAATCTTCAGCTTTCTCTCCTGCGTTCCCTCTGGCAGCTTCTCTTGGGAAAACTCTGGCCCATTTCCGTGGTGTCAGCAAGGAATTGTGGGGGACACTTTACATTCCCTTATATCACACTCCCCACACAGTTTATTATTCCTGGAAGTCTGCATACTCCCCCCCCCCGTTCCTTCTTTGCTTCCCAGCCACCAACCAATTTACCTTTTATCTGCCCCCCTATCTTGAGCTATATTTATTATTTACTTCATTTATACCTGGCTTTTCTCCGCAATGGGGACTCAAAGCAGCTTTTACATTACTCTCCTCTCTTCCATTTATTCTTCACAGAGCCATGTGAGGCAGATTAGGCTGAGAGTGTGTGATTGGCCCAAGGTCACCCAGTTAACTTCCATGGCAGAGTAGGGGTTTGAACCTGGGTCTCCTAGAACCTAATCTGAAACTCTAACCACGATACAACATTTGCTTTTGTGTGGAGGCTGCCATGGAACAATAGCAAGCAGCTGCCTGAGTGAGTCATGGAAGTCACATAGTAGCAAGTTGCTCAGTTGCCTGAATGAATCCTTCCTCAAAGGCAAAACAGCTCTGGAAAGGGCCCTTCCCCCTCCTTCTGCCTTTTATTGACAGAAATGAAGGCTTGAAGGCTGGCCATACCTTTGTGGTTGCTTAGCAACCCCCATAACAACCACTGAGAGGGTTTTCATTTCTTAAAGCTAAAATGCCGCTTTTATTATTTTGGAATGTTTTAGCCCCCCCCCCCCCTATTTATTTATTTTAGATTTTTCTGCAATCCTGGTTTGTAGAAGAATCTGTCATACCTGTCCATCACTCCTGTCTCTGGATTTAAGTAGCCACAAATTTGGTCATGCTGAGAATTAGATATATTGATATTGCTAGTGCTGAAATAAATTGCTTCAGTTGCAAAGTGTCTGTGTTATTATTGACAGTTGATTTGAACTATTGCTTCCTTCAGTGTAGTAGATCACAAAAACTTTTATTTAGATTGCTTTAACTTCTCAATGGTGCTTTTAACATCTAGATTTTCTAAACTAAACTAAAGTATCATTTTCTAAACTACCATTCCACTGAAGCACATAAAATCAAGAACATATATATGTCCCCTTTTAAGAAGTACTTTGTGCTTTGAAAAGCACTGCCTAAGATGGTAATAAATGCACTATTTTTTCCAGGTATGGTGAAATGCTCAGTGTTGCCAAGGTAATATGTTTTTCCTAGAAGCAACTAGAATGCTACTTTTCAGATTTATATGTCACTAACGAAATTGTATTTTGGTTTCCATAGATTTACCCCATCTATGCCAAGAAGTCCCCATTTTTGGTAGACAAATTCTACGAGTACTTTCTTGGTGGTGTGGATGATATGGCATTCTCATCAAATAACATTTTTGAGCTCACAAGTTATATGTTAACAAATGGGACTAGGTGAGGTGCTGGTTTAACCTCCATGGAATATAATGTACTGCTCTGAAACAGGAATTGTATTAGACATTCTTTGTTCAAGTATTTTTGCTCGAATAGGTTGTGATAAAGCTGCCAGTCTGGCAAATAAGCTGCATTTAATAGCTACCTTTTTGCCTCTGACATTAATTCTGAGTTGCAAATAGTTTTTTTGAGAGTGTAGGAAATGCGTGTATAAAGATAATAAAGATGAATGTTAGGGGAATTCTTAGGTATGTTAGTTATTTAAGATCTACAAATTATGTACTTAAAGTAATTATTTCTTTTCTTTTTCTTTTTGGTCAGTGGCTGTTTTCTTCCTGAGAATCCTTTATATATACAGTGCAAACATGATCCCAGAAATACTATCAAGTAAGTCCGGCCTCTGTAGTCTGCTTATTGGAATAACCTCCAAGATTCTTATTACTTTGCATGGACATTCTATTCAGTAAAATTCAGGCAATTTATCTTTTTTGTTTTGATTGGGATTCCACTTCCTAGACTGGAGAAAAAAATTGCCATGTACGTACATCTCCTATATGAGAGCTTAGAATTATTTGATGTGCTGGCTTGTTATAGCCCATTTCTTCTATAACAAATCTCAAACACTACCACTGAAGTAATTCTTCAAGGGAATTCCTTATGCATTTGTAACTGAACTCTTTATTCCAGTTTCCAGTGCCTTTCATATTTATATTATATGAAAACTGCAGTAATTTTGGGAAAGCATAGGCAGTTAATTGCTGCTAATGATTTTTTTTAAAACCCGTTTTGTTTTGGCTGAAAAGTTCACAGCCACGATTCTGAAGGTTAATTATACCTACTGTTATACTCTCAGCAGCTACCAGGCTCCCAAATGCTTGAAAATCTGAGTTTATTTTGTACTGCTTCTGCCTGATAAATGACCTCAAAGTTGCTTACAGTCAGGAAAAAAATGAGATTCAGTAAAAAAAAAATTAAAATAAGCTGCTGGGGAGAGGGCAATGATATAATAATATGTCCTTTTGCTAGTCTACTTGCACCATGTGCTGCTTTTTAAAGGCTCAAGAGTGGCCATGACAGAATACCTCCCGCCTTCAAAGTGTGCCACAGCCAGGCAACACCAGATGTTTTGGTCCCTAGATGGTGACTTTATGATTTGGGTTATGCGCAAACCACTCATTACACAATCAGATTAGCGTATACTTTCATGTTAAAAGCAGATGTTATTTCAACAGACTGAAACAATTGAAAACTGAGCACCATAGAGACATACATGTTTCAGTGGCAAAATCAGCTGAAAGGAATATCAACTATACAGAGAGAGGAGTTTATTTTGACATGCCCCCTTTGATCACGGTAAGTCTTTCAGGCATATAGTTGGAAACTAAGACCTTTTTTGTAGACATACAAATCAGGGATCTGCAATATGGGTTTGGAAATATTTGGAATTTACTGAATAATGTCATATATAGAACTAGCAGTAAAGCCCGTTGTGAAAGCAATACAACGAGATCTAGAAAGAGGCTCTGGGGCAGTGCTCTGGCTTTGGGCAAACAGTGTCAATTTGCTGTGGTGACCTCAGCAGGATATAATGACAGAGTCCACTGTTTTCTCCAGAGGAACTGATCTCTGCTACCTGAAGAGCAGTTGTAATTGTGAGTGATCTGTAGCCCTCACCTGGAGATTGGCAGCAATTGTTATCCAGGACAAAATGGCTGGTTTGGAGGGTGGAGTCTGTTACACTCTACCTGTCTGAGGTCCCACCTCTCCGCAAACCCCACCCTCTCCAT